GATTGGCGTTCCACGGAACCTTTTCAATCTAATGTGGCCAATGATGACGAAGCATTTAATAGCCGTCAGCAAGTAACCATCAATTGTAAAATATAATCATTAATTTTGTCTTATTTAAATTATCATGGTTTTTTCTTATTTTTTATTAAAACATCGCTATCTATCCATAGAGAATAGGATAAAATTTAAATTATCATAGTTGACTTTGCTCTATTGAAAATTTTCAATTTTAATCAAAATGTGAGTATCAAAGTTGGTGAGGAAAAAGGATAGAACGAATTTTTTTTGTGGCAAAAAATTAAAGTTTTCCGTTTTGTTTGCTTATACGCAAAACCAAAGCTTACGTGCAGGGAACAAATTCACACAAGAGACAAATGATTTCAGGTTATTGACATAATGTTTAATAAAACAGTAACATATTTAAAAATTTTAAATATATTTATTTTGTTGTCACCTTTAATTAAGTTTAAAAAATAATATTTATGATTAATTATTAATTAATTATCATTAATTAATTTTTTATTTTTATACTCACGTGACGTTTTATATTAATATGATAATGAAAATGACATATGATCATATCATCATGCTACATCATTATCTATTATAACAAAATATCATACCACATCAATATCTCTGAAAAACGATGAATGATGTTTTCATTAAGTCAATCATTAATTATAAGACTTATTTGATTAAAAATGAAAATAATAAGACTTATTTGATTTAAAATAAAATATAAAAACTTAGGTGAATATAATAAAAAATAAAGATTTATTTGTATTTTTTAAATATTTTAAGAACTTATTTAGATAATATACCAAAGTTATTTGATTCTAGAAAAAATGCATTAATTAATTACCTTTTGTTGTAAAGACGATCTTATGCACAACGGCATGCAAGTAAACCTTAATCCTCCCTGGATCAGCATACTCAAGCAAATCAGCTGCAGTATGTCTATTTCCATTTCCATCCAAAATACTTCCACCAGTTTTAGTCCCATTAATGTGATCATACGTAAACCCATTATATGGCACAACCCCAGCTTCAAGCAACCCATCTCGCACTGCAGATTGCCACTGCAACGCAACTGGCTTGTGTACCAACTTCCTTTCAACCCACTCATAAGAATCGTTGGCTAATGCTTCATCCATTCCATTTTGCTTTAAGAAGGATGTTTCCGCATGCGAGTAAAAGCCTGCGTTAATCACTGTTCCGCCACCAAGCACGCGTGGTCGGTTGTTAGCAACTCCATCCTCGGAGATGAATGCTTCAGAGTATGAATCGGGAGATCTGTCTGTAAGAGTAGACATAAAGTTTTCTTTCCTTATTTTGGTCGTGTTGACATACGGAGACCCCCCTCTTTCCAAGACTAGAACATTTGCATTTCGAGACAGGGTTGCAGCCAATGGACAGCCAGCAGTTCCTCCACCAATGACTATGTAATCGTAGAATGAGACTATTGGAGCAGAGGTTGCTTCTTGGATAAAGCTGTAATTAGGAGCTGCAAATTAGATCTTTAGTTAATTATGCATCTTTCCTTGCTCTTCTCACAAACGGAAAAAAATTTCAAATTTATCCGACATCTATCCTAAATACATGTAAACTATCACCAAAGAGACACTTGATTATTAGAATGGAGTAAATTGCACTAATCTATGAATTTTATGTAATAGATTATATTTATTCATTTTTAAAATTTAAATTTTGCATCTATGATTTTTTTTAAAAAAATGTTTCAAATTCATTCATTCTAACTGTTATTATTAAAATTTGACAAAATTTATAATATCAACATCACATAAACATTGACATATCAAAAAAAGTAAATTCAAAAATTTGAATGTTTAAGTGACAAAACATAGATCTATTTGACATTTTAAATTGATATTTATGCTATGTAAACATCTACATGACACGAAGGTGACATATTTCATTGATTTTTATAAGTAATTGATAAAATTAATGGATTTGAAACATTTATAAAAAATCGTAAACAAAAAATTTAAAATTTTAGAGATCACAAATGAAAAATTAAATATTGTACAAATTAAAATAACGAAGGGTTCAATTTGAAAATCTTGAATTCAAATTAGAAGATGAGATTTATAAAATAAAAGAGATTATAACATCAAATCATATGGGTATTGCAAAAGGAAAATAAATACTATATGTAAACCTAAATCCAACTCATGAAGCTAAAGAAGTTTTCATGGAAGCAACTTTTGGATGGTATAACAATAAAGACTTGAGTACCTTTTTCTCCATAGCTGAAGCCATGCAAAGCAAATTCAGCTACAAAAACAAGTACAAGAAAGCTCCATGAGGACCAGGCGTACATCAAACCCATATTTTTCCTCTAACTTCTGCTTCGATCAAAGAGCTGCGTGGACCAAAAATGGATATGTTCTCCAAAAACTACAAGCTATCTTATAGGGTGTCGATTGCATTAATTTAAATACTGTAAGCCGACCCTTATTGGTTTTTTATCCTGAATCTCAGAAAAATTGAATGTTCAACTGCCTTTTCGTCATCATTCAACATATTAAAACATTTTCCTTTTAAGAAAGATTCCCAATGGTTGATGTGTAGAGGCATGGCAGAGGGTTGGGTTCTCCGTCAAACTTGGTAGGGTCGACTCGATCCAATTCAACTTTGAATACAAAATTTTTAGGTCAGAATTATGGATATTGAATGTCTATTTTTGCAGAGATAAAAAGTTTAGTTATATAAACACATAAATAACTAAATAAGATAAAAAAATTCAAGAAACTTAAAAGTATAGCTATATAAAAATAATAAACTGAACAATTAATATTAGATAAAAGAAGGGAAAAATTATTTTCACAATTGATTTTGTGCATGATACATACATACATATATATATATATATAGACTTATTAAAATAGATCGGCCCATTGAATCGGTTCATTTTTATTGAAAGTGAGGTGGGTTGGGACTTAAAAATTCAAGCCCATATTAGAACCGAGTCTAAATGGGCTAACCCATCTGATCAATGGACTTTTCCGTGTTAGTGTAGGCTAAAAGAAAAAAAAATAAATTAATAATTTTAGCTAATTTAATAAGATTAATATTTAGCTCTATAAAATTAATAATTTAGTTATTAATGGTATTGTTTATTTTACATATTTCAATGTCTTTTAATTTTTACTTGTCAAATTAATAATTTTAATTAAGGTTAAAACTCACTATCTATTTTTCTTTGGTGACAATGAATATTAGATAATAATAATTTAAATCTTGAGACATCATTATTGTCCAAACCAAATTCAAATGTTTTTACTTGAAGATGAAGATTGAAGAGGATATAAATGAACTTTGAAGTTTCTATTTATTTGATTCTTTTTTTATAATTGGGGGAAAGGGGATTCAAACCCTACTCTTTAGGTAAGAGGATAATATACTAACCCATGAGCTAAATGCTCAGAGTGTAAGTTTTTATTTATTTGATTATGTACTTATGTTTATGAGATTGTAGTTTGTGTTAAAAATTGAAACTTTATTTATGTTTGATTAACTTATTTGTTTATTTATGTTTGGTATAAACTATTTGTTTGTAACATGTTTTTATTATTCAATTTATGGATTAAATTATGGAATAATTTTATTGATAGAGAATTTATTGGATAAAATTGTGAAAATGATTTTTTTTTAAAAAAAAAGGTGGGCTGATCTAATTGGACCAATGGGCTGATAAGGGGTGAGTTAGGCTGAGGTTTTGACGACTCATGTAAAGAATGGGCTAACTTAACCTAATTCATATTTTCTCAACCCATAATGTTTTTGCACATTGCAAATTCATGCATCTAAGGCTTAGAAGTCATGATCTAAGGCTTAGAAGTCATGATCTAAGGCTAGTTGCAAATTCAGCCATAAATTTTAATTGCTTTTCACATGCAAATTATTACCAATAAGAGACGACAAGCTAAGCATGAAACTACACCTGAGCATGTGATTCATTGATTGGTGTATTATCCCCTTACCTAAAGAGTAGGGTTCAAATTCCCCCTCTCCCTATTATAAAAAAAAAAAACCTAAGCATGAAACTAGCTTAGTCTTAAAAGTCAACAATTATAAGCAAAGCAAAAAGCTGGTAAAAATTTTTTTCCCTTTTTGTAATATAGTGATCATATGCATAAATTTTTGTTCTGATTTCATAGAAATTTGTTCACAATTTGCTTTAGTGTCAACGTTTTGTATGTTCTTTGATTTGATCAATATAGGATAATACAACATAATGAACTTTTATTTTGTGGCATATAAGTCATTGGACAATCATAATTTGTTTACATCGGCCTCAATTAGAATTTTATCATCTTGGATGGTTTAGGAATTTTGTTAATGTGGGAAGCTTGATAAACCCTAAAGCTTTATTGTTCAATCTTATTGTTTAGTAATTAAATTTAAGTGATTTTAATTTTTTTTTGTTTTAAAAGTATGAACCAATGACTTCAAGACATGTAGATAGGTAGAAGAAAAAATACCAAGTTAACAACAAAAGATTCAATCAGCAACATCTTTGATCACATGATCTATCACATGGCAATATCTTCTTTCAAAATGACATGTCTACATGCCACAACGTCGACACATGATATTTACTTGACAATTGTGATTTTGATTGGCTGCATTTATTCAACCTAATAACTCTGTGTATTTGATTCGTGCTTGTGAAGGTATGAATGCTATTGATGATCTAGGTTGGTGGCATGAGCCACCATTCCTCTCTGAAAAGAACTCCCCTTCACCAATATCATCTTCATGTTTTATGGGAGTCACCTCTTTTAAGGGAATTCAAATTTAATGTTGATGGCTAGACTTAAGACAAACCAGGCCTAGCAAGGTATTGAGGAGTCCTTCGTGATTCACAACGTTTTATGCCTCCTCATTTGTTGGATCTCCCTTAATATTTGAATCCGACTCGATGATAGCACTCACTTGGATTGAAAAACTTTGACCAAAGACTATGGAACAAGTGGCATTATTCAATAAAATTGACACGTTGTGTTTCTCCCATGTTATGGTTTCCTTCTAGTATGTGCATAGAGAGAGTAATTTGTTTACTGACTTTGTTGCAAGGTATGGAGTTGATTGATCACTTCTTGGCTTGGTGGTTAATGTGGTGTTGAGTTTTGTTTTCTCTTTATGTGCTAAGTTTTGCTTTCCAAGCTTGTAACAATGTAAGAACAAATGTATGGGAGTTAAATCATTTCAAGAACTTGTCAAAGATCACTTAAATAATGTTCAATCCAATTTGATCATTTTGTTATAATCAAAACTATAATAATTTTAAAGCTAACACAACATCCTTGATAACTGTACGTAAAACCCTTGTAGCATGACTGAGCAATGCATGTAGCACAATTTTATTATTATGTGAGTTAACCCCAACAACCTCTTCAATCAGCTTCACTAAGCCCGAAAATGACAAATCACTCCCAACACCCCTCACTCATGTCTCACCACCCTTGTAAGTGTCATCGACCCAATGACCACCGTATGGAATCATAAGCTTCATATTTGATAAGGTGCTGAAATTTAACAGAAAATAAATGTCACAATCAGTCAATTTATTAAAAATTTTCCCTCAATGCATAAAAATCACTTACACAATGCCTAAGTCACGGAATAACATAAAGTCAGTCTTGCAATGTCAAATGCACATTCACACAATGCCTAAAAACTAGTGAATAAAAGCCTTAAAACAAAAGATGAATTGCACAAGTCACACACTGCCAGTCTTGCAATACCTAATAATAAGTCACTCAATGCCTAATATCCACCATGTTATGCCAGAAAAACTAATCACGTATTGGCCCAACGTAACATAATACATAAAGACCAGTCACGTAATGTTTAAAAAGTAGTCAAAAAATATCTCAAAACAAGATATGTAGTGCACAATTCACGCAGCTCCTATAAGCTAGTCTCACAATACCTAATAATAAGTCACTCAATGCCTAATTTTCACTCAAATTATACCAACATAACCAGTCACGTACTAGCCTAATGTCACGTAATGCATAACAACAAGTCACATGATACACAAAAATTAGTCGCGCAATGCCTAAAAAGTAGTTACAAAATGTCTCAACATAATATATGCATTGCCCAATTCACATAGTCCCTATAACCTAGTCTCGCAATACCTAATAACAAGTTACACAATGCCTAACATCCATTCACGTTATACCGAAATACCCAGTCACGCATTGGCCCTATGTTGCGCTATACATAAAAACCAGTTACAGAATGCATAACAACCAGACACGCAATGCCTAAAAAGTATTCAATAAATGTCTCAACACAAGATATGCATTGCACAATTCATGCAATGTGATACCTCTATTATTTAGAGTTATTTTGATATATTTTGAGGGCTTAAGTAGTTAAATCTTTGAGATTTTAAGTTCAAATTGTAGCATTTTAGGTGTTTTTCTAGTTTTACTTTGATTACATATTGAGTAGTTAATTTGTGTTATTTTAGTTAAATTTTATGTTATTTTGTTTTAAATTACTTTAAAAATAGTAGTGGTAATTTTTCTTATTGCTTTTATAGGAAATTTGATGAAAAATGCTCATTTGATGAAAATCCGTGCATGTATGGTGATGACTTTATTCGTATATATTAGCATATTTTGACCATATCTCTCTTTACAAAACTCTAAATGAAGTGATTTTTGACCACTAGACTTCTAAGAAGAAGGGCTACAACTTTTATGTTTACCACTACACCCAATTCAAACTGGATAATAGTCAAAATATGTGTCTCAGTCGGAGCACTATGGCAATACGCATGGACTAAACATGATGCGGTATTCTGGGCATATCTCTCAATCCAAAAGTCCAATTGACATGATTCTTAATCCATTAGAAAGTTAAGAGATAGGATACAACTTTTGTATTTTCCACTTTTCCCAATTCAAAGCAAATTAGGGTGAAAATTACATTCAAATTTGATAAACTACTGTAACACTAGGAGAACAAGGCTGTAGCATTAGTGAAAGGAAGCTCGCTATATAATTTTCCCGAGAGCTCAGTATTGTAGAAAGAAACCAACATCACGACTCCAAGAAATCAAGGTTACGGCACTGGGTGAAATTTCAAAAATAAAAATTTGATAGGATTTTAGAAATTAGGCTCCTTAGAGCTTATTTAAAGGACCTTTTTCAAAGGTTTTAAGGAAGACGTAGCAATCAGCTATTCTAGAAATTTTGAGCCAAAAACAAAGCAAGAAAACAAGAGAATTTGAGAGAGAATAGAGATTATAAAACTTCAATAATTAGTTTCTTTCTCTACTTTTGTGTTTTTATTATTTTCTTTGACTTAGATTCATGGCTAAATTTCTTTAGATGTTATTTTATTAGTTATTGTAAACTAAATTATCTTTTAGGGTTGTGGTGGATTTCAACATGCACTTTGAATATTAGTTTCTTTTTCATTTATCATGAATGGGTGTAGTTTTGCTTATTCAAATTTGTTCTTAATGTTTTTGATTGCTTGGCCAATAACTAATTTGTGAATTTAATTGAGACTCGATAGAGAGATTTTAGATTAGAATAAGATTTAAATAATGTATGTTCACATCACTT